GGGGCATTGGGTTCGATCCTCAGCACCACATTAATAAATAAAAAAAAGGTATTGTGCCCATCTACAACTAACTAACTAAATAAATAAATAAAAGTCTTTACAAAAAAAAGTAATCTTCATCTGTTTTATCTGTAAAGGCTTCCAAATTCACTAATTTCACTATCAAATCTTTTGATCTTTTGAGAACTAAGCAATAATTTCCTGATTTGCCAAGGATTAAATTTAAATGCTGGGGAGAACATGAGCCTTCTCTCTAAAACCATTACTTTTAATTGACAGTATGTTAAAGGATAACATGAGGGTATTAGTTGACATTATAGTCTATTGCAATGGAAATGTGTTTGTAGTAAGATTGTCTCAAACAAGTTTTAGGGGTACAGAGACTTAAAGGCAAGAAATAAATCATATGAAAAATGCATCCTCTAAATTTTGAAGTGCCACATGAGTTCAGACTCTCAGTGAGCTCATCTTGCTTCCTGGTTTTAAATACTATCTACACACTGATAGCTCTCAAATTTATATCTTCAGGTCAGTCCTCTCCTCTGAACTCCAAACTCACACATCTGTCTTCTGGATCTTTAATAGGTACTTCAACCCTAGGATGTCCACCCTGAGCTCCTGACACAGTCCTCTCCCTGCCCAGTTCTGCTCACAATCTTCTGCATCTCAGGAAAGGTCAACTTCCTCTCCCAGTTGCAGAGGCTGGAGTAATCCTTGACCTCTCACTCCTCAACAAATCTTATCAACTCTACCTTCAAAATATAATCAAAAGATGCTCATTTCTCCCCACCGTAGAGCTTTCAAGTTACCACCATTTCTTGCCTGGATCACTGTGATTCATCCTGAACCCGTCTCCCTGCTTCTGCACTTGTCTTCCTTAGCTTTTTTTTCTAACATAGCCCCCAGAATGATCCTATTACAATCTCAGTCAGATTATGTTACTCCTCTGCTCAACTCCTCCAGTGATTTTTCATCTTATCGAGTATGACCCAATGTCCATTGGTCACTTATTGCCCTCCTCTTTTCCTCCATGCTGGACTTCCTGCTGTTTACTGCACAGGGCCTTTGCATAAGCTATTCCCTCTGCCTGGAATGCTCTTTCCTCAGGTATATTTATGGATTGCTTTCTTTCTTCCTTTAGGTCTTTATTTAAAATCATCTTCCCAGTGAGGCTTTCTGTGGTCATTGATTTATACTTAGTACTTCCATCCTCCTTTCTTGCTTTCTCTCTGTGGCATTTGTTTAACATACCATATATTTTGCTTATTTTTACTGATAGCATCTGTCTCGCCTCTAGAATATAAGCTCCATAAGGTAGAGATTTTTTGACTGGGTATCCTTTTCTCCTAGAGAATTGCCTGATACTTAGTGTAAATGTAATAAAAATGAGTTGGATAAATAACTTAAAAAAAAGGTGATGTATGTCATAAGAATTAAGGTCTATTAATGAAATCATGATTAATCAAGCTATGAACCTAATTTCTAAAAATGTATCTTATGTTGTTAGGTTTTCATGGAAATTTGTCTTTGGAGCAACTTTTGTCTTTATTTTCTATAAGAACAGGATTGATTTATCTTTGCAACAAGAAACTTTAGAGATAAGTGTTCAAGAAGGAAGAGGATGGTGATAAATATAGATGGATATTAAATAATGCCTATTGTTTGTCATGTTGGATGAGCTAATGATTTTTTAAAATTATTATAACATAGCACTTACTATTCATAGCAATCTGAAGTTAGAAATGAAAAAAAAAGTTGCTCATTGATTGAATTAGCAGTGTCTGGCACACAGTAATGTAATATATAAAGAAAGCTGACTTGGATACAATCCAAACAGCTTAGCTATTGATGTAGTTTTATTTCCGAAGTGATTCTACAGTAAAGGCATGGCGTCCAGGTTGGTTACAGTTAAACTCTAGAAGAAAATAAGGGTTAGGGTAATGAAGATACTATCTTTAGACACAAGAATTATAAATACTTAGTTGTTATTCTTTATCATATTATAAGGGAAACACTTAGTGAATACACAGACTAAAAGCTTTCATGTTAGGGTCTGTAAACAAGTCAAGATGGCGCCTGGCATTTTGCCAGGGGGAGTGGTTTGTGAGGTGGCCCCAGAGAGCCATTAAGTGTGGAGATTCCTTATTGGTTGACTTCTGTATCTAGTTATGTTAATTAAGAAAAACTATGTGAAATATATATATACACCCCTCCTGTCCTACAATAAACGGCTCCCACTCCTGCTGTATCAATGTACACAAGCTGCTCATCACCCCCCGGTTATTTTGCTGCAGCCGGACTATGGCACTTTCATATGAACCAAAGATGAAAAGGGCAATGTTACTAGTCAGAATTAGAGGTAGAATGACAGAATGGAAAGATAAGGGGTGGGAGACCTGAGTTTCAGCCTTCACTATGCCATTAACTGGCTATATGACTTGGGGTGGGCTGTTTAAGCTTTCTTAGTTACCTCATCTGCAAAATGTAAGGCTAGACTGATCAGATTCAAGGTTCCCTGAAAGTTATACAATTGTTTGATTTCAAAAAGAAACTACAATAAAGTAAGGAGATTATCCTGAATTATTGGCACCCATTGTAACCTCAGGGTTCCTTTAAAGGCAGAATGGTGAAGAGTGAGAGTGATGCCACATGAGAAACAGACCAACCACTGCTGTCTTCAAGGACAAAGGGGCTATGACCAACTGAGGAACACAGGCAGCCTCTAGAAACTGGAAAGAAAAGCCAACAGTCATTGCTAGAGCTTTAAGAAAAGAGCCCAGCCCTATTGACACCTTGATTTTAGCCCAATGAAACTTGTTATTAGACTTCTGATGTTCAGAAGTATGTAAAGGACAAATCTGTTAAGATTTTAAATTTGTGATTTATTTCAGGAGCATTAAAAAATAATACAATAATGATATGCATTGTAACCAGCAAAGTTGGCCCCAGGTTTATCACAGATGCAGGATTTTTATAAAAATCCTACATTCAGGCTGAGCATGGTGGTGCATGACTAATTTCAGTTCTTCAAAGGCTGAGGCAGGGGGATAGCAATTTGAGGCCAGCCTCAGCAACTTAGTGAGACCCTAAAACAACAGTGAAACGGTCTCAAAAAAAAAAAAAGAAAAGGGATAGGGATATGGCTCAGTGGTTAAGTGCCACTGGGTTTAGTGCCTTGTACCAAAAATCCTATATTCAGAAATTTTGGAAAAATCTTCCTTATGATGAAAGGGAAGCCATTGCAGGGAGCAACACAGGTTTTAAAAACTTGTCTTGGGTGGAGTGTGAGCAGGGAATTGGAACAGGGCCAGCCAGGAGCTGGCTCCACAGTTCAGGGAGGGGCTGGCCTGGTCTGCCTGTGGGCAAGTGCAGAGGAGTCCGGAAAGGAGGGGGGAAGCACTCAGAGATCTTCTGGAGGCTGGCCAAGAAGGCCTCTAGGCTGGTGTCACACAGGCAATTGAAGGTAGGGGTCTGAGGCTGTTACCCCTGAATAAATTATATATACTTATTCCATTATAAAGGACCTGGCATGCTAAGTAGGATACAATCCACATGCAGATGTGATTGTATTCATTCAGGGGATGACAATGACTCAGGGTAGAAGGATGGTCACTAGGGCCACCAACCCCAAGGAGCTGAGCAAAGGCAGGTGCAACCTCTGTGACAATGCTCCTAATAAGGGAAGTGCTTTTGTAAAGTTAAAGCACCTGCCCACCCATTAAAAGCTCTATAAAGGAGACAGGTGACTCTTGCCTCTTGGTGGCTCAAGAATGAAACTATGTTCTTGTTCCTCCCTCCACCCAACTTTGGGCTCTGCAGATTACCACCCAGGAATGAGGACACAGCCCTGGCAGACAGGCAGGCAGCCAGGAAGGGGCCTCTTGGGAGAGTTCCTAGAACTTCTGGTGGAGTGTGGCTCTGGATTGTAGAGATAGGTCTGGGGTCCTTGAGCCCTTTAGCCCAAGAGGGTTGGGGAGGGGTTAGTATTTCCAGATAAGACCAATAAAAATAAATAAGGCCAATAAAAATAAAGAACAGGGCTGGGGTTGTAGCTTAGTGGTAGAACACTGGCCTCACAAGCATGGATTTGGTGACTTATTTCTACTGTTATCCTTTGGCAAAACAAGATTTAGGGACAGATGAGGTCTTACTGCAGTATGCCTAATAATTTTTTAATGATATAAACCCTCATTATAATAAAACACTGTTCACCCACACATTAAACTGAAACAATCTGAGAAGTAGGATTTCCTTAAAATATTTGATTTTTTTCATACAATTAATTTTGTAGTTAGAAAATCAATTTTCATTAAAAGATGACAAATCAGAAGAATCTGTTCTCCAAAGTCATGGACCTAATTCGTCTATCTTCATTTAGCACGTTTTCGGCTCCTGCTTGATTATATATTTTTAGTGGTTGTAAAGATTGTTTATGGATTTTTGTTTTGACTCACACTTTGGTTACCATAAGGTAACCCGTGATTACAACAATACTGAAAAGCAAGCTGTAACCGTAAAATACGGCAGGAATGCCAATAATCAATACAGTGAACGGTGTCTTTTTGACCCCTGCTTAACTCATTATTTTACACAACAAGCTCAGACGAAGAATACCCAATTCAGATAGTGTTTCGGCTGACAAAATACTTAATTTAGTCCTCACAACAACCCTGTGAGGTGGGCCTATTCTAGGAGGTAGGATGACGTGGCAGTCACCTGGCAGGTCACGGGGAAGGCGCAGCAGCCTGGCCAAGGAGACAGGCGTAGGTCTGGAGGCGCTTCTGATTATACTGGAGCCTTCACTAAACCCTGCCCTCTACATCCCTCCCCTGCCATGTACCTTTTCAAACCCGAATTCTCCCTTTTCCATATCAGAAAGGCGGGCTGCGGGTTGGGGAAACCTGTAGCTCACACCCAGGGCGACCCTGTCGGTCCCCAAAGTCCCAGCGCTGAGCACCGTCCACCCACTCCCGCGAGTCGCGTGCCGGCGACAGACTAACCTGACCAGGTCGGTCACGCAGGAGCCCACCACTACCACCGCCGCCACCTCCTCCTGCCACTGCCTCCGAGGCTCCCCAGACGCCGCCATGGCTAGATGAAGTGCTGTCCAACCTGGACTCTACCCTTTGCACTCTGCCCGACCCTGTAACCAGAGATGCCGCTCCTACCCTCTTATCGAAGCGGGCCTTTCACACGCCTACGCGGGTCGCCCACCCGAATGCCCGAACAACCCCGCCCGACAACGGCCCCCAGTTCTTTCAGGAATTGTCTCCCGCACCGCCTCATGTTCCAGGACCCTCCTAATACTACGAGTGCCAGGCTCCTCGCCACGCGCGAGGCAGGCGCTGACCCAGAGCTTTCAGGCACTGCGGGGACGCCTTTCCGAGCGCCAGGCAGGAGCGGCACGGGGGCGCGCACGCCGCCAGACTCCCGAAGGGGGCGGGGCGGGACGTCCGGGAGCGCGCACGCATCCGGCCCGCGGTGCGCGCTCAGGTCGGTGCGTCGGTCGGGGGCGCGCTCGGGTAACCTGTACCCCACGTAGTCGCCGGTTACCGATCGGACTAAGTTCCAGGTACCAGGACTGGGGCTGGTGAGGGGAGGTTGGATCCCGAGTCGCACAGGTGGTGCAGAGATCGATGGCCAGAGGGCTTGCCTACTCTTCCTATAGAGAAGGCCCCCTGTTTCAAAGATGCCCTGCTCACCCCCATCACGCTAGTCCACTCAAGAACGAGTCCCCCAAACCTCAGAGTTACCTGTCTCCCTTTCTGGCCCACCCCTTGGTCCCTAATGAGCCCTCAGGGTGATCCCTCTTTCCGCTTGATGAGGGGATCATACAATTTGGGAGAAGGGGGAGCGTCCTCTTTTAAATGTTCTTGGAGTTGGGTGGTCATTCTTTGAGTCTGAAACGATTTGTTTTTCCTGATTTTGCCCCTTGGAGAAATTGCTTCCCCAGTGTGACTTCCCTCGTGTGCTGTATGACGTTGATGTGACGCAGCAAGGGGGGCCACCCCTTTCCGTTCCATGACGTCAACCGGACACGTGTTTCCGTGCTTGTCATCCTATCCTAATTGCAAGAGCCTGGACAGTGCTTTAGACGTCTTTGTATTCCCCAGGCAGCCTACCAGAAGACCTGATGTGACCTTATTTTGGGGCAGGAGATCTTTGTAAAAATGTACTTTTGCATTTTCCTTATGCAGTACGTCAAAATCAGGAAATACAAATTGCAGAACTAGCATTCAAAAGAGGCTGGCTACCCCAAATTTCTGGCTATCTGGAATCTGTTACAATATTGCCATTGTCTCATTTGTCTTATTTGGGGGGAAGTGGACCAACCCATGTCCCTGCACACTGCACCAAAGGACCACCTTGTTTGGTTATTGTTCAATGACCCGATTTTGGAACCAGTATTCTTTCCCTCTTTCTTAGATAAGTCACACCTTCTCATGATTGAAAAAGATGTTAATCCTGCATGGGATCTAGCACTATCAAAAAAAAAAAAATAGTACTATGACTGTTCCAGAAATAAAGACAAATTCATTCCCTCAGTGTCATCCTAAAGTCATGATACTTGCTGAATTGTTCACTGTTAGTATGGTTAGCTTCTGGTTCAGGTTTAGAATTTAACTATTGAATCATTCAAGCCAACTTCAGCAGTAGGTCCATAGTAGTCTAGTTTGTCTCTGGTTTTGAAACAATCATTTATTTAAATTCTGACTGAGTCTTGATGTCAAGAAAAAAAAATCACCTTGATGTTTTTTAATTTATGTGATTTTTTAAAAATTTATGTTATTTGATAGGAAGACAGGAATAGTGGATTTTGAGAATCCTCAAAATTCGAATTTGAATTTAAATTCTAATCTGTTTGCCATGTTTGTGACTCTGAATAAGTATCTTGCTTGCAGAGCTTCAATTTTCATGTCTGTAGAATGGGGACAGTATTCACCAGGGAACAGAGTTGTAGGGGGAAGTGAATAATTTAGGAGGTGAATAATTTAATCTGTCAGTAGTCGAGATTGAAAATTTGTTGATTCTGTTACCCCCCTTTCTTTTTGTAGAAACGAGAGGTAAAATAATAGTAGGTACTGTGGGGAAAAAAAAACATGGAAGAATAATATCTATGAGATCCTTATGCTTTTTTTTTCTGAGGTGAATATTTGTGTGTTTTGCTTATGATCTAGATAAGCATCCTTTCAGGAACTGTGACATCAGTGGATAGAAATAAAGTTAGAAATGTTGCAGAATAGGAAGAAAAGCCTTCAAAATGATTATGTGGATTAATATACTGTACAACCCCCCCCCCCCAGTTATCCATATCATCTGCAAAATGGGAATTAAAATACCTGCCTTACTACCCAGGTTGTTAAGAGCAACTGTAATAATGTATGTGAAAACTCTTTGTAAGTGATAAAATGTTATAAAGTAAAGGTGATTTCTATGGTTGATAGTATAATGCGTAAATTTTTTTTTCCTTGTGATGACAGTGGTGGAGGTAGGTCATCTGCTAAAGAGTTAGAATAGGAGCTTTTTTAATATTTGCAGAAAAGATCATTTGGGAACTATACACATAAAGTATAAAGCTTTTGCTACCCCAGAGGTACTTCTTGGTTTCATCACTAAAGAGTGTGACAAAGTTCTTATTTTTTGAAAGATCACTGCAGCCCTTCCCTTTATTGCTGTCTGAAATGAAAAACAAATACTAAATACCGAAAATAGTATTTATTGTAATTTTTTCAACATTTGTATGTTCTCATGTGGCATAATACATGAAAAACTAGAATGAGAATATCAGTTTCTTGTAATTGTAACTGGATGGAAACTTAAATGTTTTTGATGTGGGATTATTCTTTCATGTCGAGGAAGAAAGTGATCATTTAAATTGAATTATTCACCTCGGAAAGTAGGCTTTCATTTAGAATTCTATTAAGAGGAATTCATGTGCTCCCTCTTTAGCCCCATGAGTTTCCAAGTAATTTAGATATGATTTATTGGTTTTGCTTTATATTTTCAAGTATAAGGACTTCTCAGTGCCTTAAAGTCGAAGACTGAAAGATTTGTATTAGTCTGTGTTGCTTAGCATCTACATAGGTGTGTGTTTTCATGATTTAATTGTTATGTAATTTTTTCCTCTCATTTTGTTACATTTATTCTCCTGCCAAAATTTTTATGGGAATATTATATTTTTCCTATCCCTAAATATTTTTCTAGCATTTGTCCTCTTACTCATTTGTAAAATGTTACTGAATGCTTAGTGTTTGCCAGATACTTTTGTTAAAACACTAAAGATTCAAGTCCAAGTAGGGACAAGCACACATAAGCAGGGGGTTAGAATACACTGTGGAGGAAGGTATAATAGCTGTAAATAATTTCCGGTAAGTAAGAATTGCAAGCTGATTGTGCTTGTTTTAGAATTTAAAATATTATTATAAATTTTTTACTCCTTGTGGGGATACCAAAGAAGAGCTTCTTAACTGAGTGGAGTATTTTTTTGTATGCTGGGAAATAATTGCTAGTGAATGCTTCTTGGTCTGAACTGAAGTGGGAGAGGCAGTAAAAAGATAGAGGGGGACAGCTTGTTGTTGTTTTGAGATAGGATCTGTGTTGTCCAGGGTGGTCTTGAACTTGTGACCCTCCTGCCTCAGCCTCCTGAGTAGCTGATATTATAGGTACACAGCACTATGCCTGGCTAGAGTGGAATAGCTTTAAATAGAGTAGAGCAAGAATCATCTTCAGAAAGGAGGAGAGAGTTGTACTTCAAGGGTTCTGTCTCTAAAAAGCAGTGGTGCAGTCTATGTTCTGAGTGGCTGAGCAACAGGGAAATGATTTCTTTCGGAGGGTCATTGCAAGAGGCTCCTTAGAGGGGGAAATGAAGTATTTATTCATGCAAGGGAAAATTCTGAGGGCTGTGCCAGCTTTTAGGAAGCTTTGTTGTATCTAATTTTTTGTTGTTGTTGTTGACTCTGATCATCATTCTTTCCTTTTGCTTTCAGTGGTAGCTTATAAGTCAAGTTAAAATGTCCCCAGAAGTGGCCTTGAACCGAATTTCTCCAATGCTTTCCCCATTCATATCTAGTGTGGTCCGGAATGGAAAAGTGGGATTGGATGCTACAAATTGTTTGAGGATAACAGACTTGAAATCTGGGTATGTACCAGAACTGATTCAACCTTTACCTAATAATAAAAATTTCTTACCAGAGTCATAAAAATGAATACCACAAACATTCCTCAAGTCATGAACTCATCATGTGCTGATTCAATTGCTTTTTTTTAATATTTATTTTAATTTTACTTTGTGATATTGGGGATTGAACTCAGGACCTCCTCCATGCTAGATCAGCACTATGCCACTAAGCCACATCCCCAGCCTGATTAATTGGTTTTGTTTCGTACTTCACTTTTTATGTTTCATGTATTTTTTTTTTGTGTTGTGGGCCATTGTATGACCAGAATGTTCATTTCCCCCCCACCCCTCTGGCTTATCTCTTTGTGAACAGTGTACCATGTAGGTTTTAGCAAGTGTGTTTTTCATTCATTGGCTTGCTTCCTGTTTACTGCAATCCAGAATACATGATAAGAATTGGACTTTGAGATTTGGCATCTGACATAATTTTATAACCTCTTTTAATACAGAAATTATAATAGTAAGTCAAAATGAGTTGTTCCTCATACTGGGGTTCTTATACCTAGAAATGTTGTATTAAAAAGGAAACACAAAATTTTATTTTGAAATAAAATTAGATTTACCAAAATGTTAGAAGAATACTATAGGAAATTAGCATCATTTCAATATTATTAATTATTCTACAGCTCTTATTTGAGTTTTGCTGGTTATCCCTTTCATGTCCTTTTTTGGTCGAAGAATCCAATTCAGAATACAAATTGCATGTGGTTGTCAAATGCCTTTAGTCTCTCTGACATGTGACAATTCCTCACTCTTTCTTTGTTTTTAATAACATTGATACTTTCAAAGAGCACTGATTATATATGTTGTAAAATGTCCCTCTATGTGGTTTGTTTAATGTTTAATATTTTCCTTTTATTAGTGTGAGAAATACATTTTTTTCTCACAGAAGAATATAGATGTATTGCACCATCTTAAGCCTCAAAGTAGGGAATACCTGATGTTCATATCTTTTTACTGGTATGTTAACTTCAATAACTTGATTAAGATTGTGTCAATGAGGT